GACAGGCGGTCACGCACGTTGGCGATCGTGGCCGAAAAAGCTATTAACGTCACTTTATCGGCCCTGTACAATTTCGGGCAGGAGGGAATCGGTCTCGTCGCAGACCCCAGCGGGCTCCTCCGGGAGACACACAGGCGGGGGGAGAGAGAGAGAAGCTGGGGGGGTGTCAGAGCGCAGCCATTTGTACAGCGCCCCCGGAGCAGCTGGGGTTCAGGGGCCCGACGGAGTAGGATCTGAACCGGCCGCCTTCCAGCCACAGATCCTCAAGAAACACGCATGGAAACAAGAACGTCTAATAATGGCGTGAGCTATACGGCATTAATTCGGTTACACGATCACCGCTGTGGGCTGTCTTGTTTTCAGCACAATTTAAGCCACAACAGTTCAGTTTCCCCCGACCAGTCGTCCCCTCTCCACTCCACTAATTCTCAACACCGAGGAAGTTACAGACACCGGCGTCGCACAAGTCCCTACACTCACCAGACAGCTCCGGGTCCGTTTCTTCCTTGACTTCCACGATCACCTCGCAGGGCGGCGTGTGTCCGAGGCGATCCGTCCGCCCCCGGTCTCGGTCTCCTCCCGACCCCGCCGCCTGCTCCTCCCAGACCTGCAGCCTCCCCCTCAGGGTCTCGATCTCCCGCTTCATCTGCGCGATCTCAGTCTCGAAACTGTACTCCACAAACTGCGTGATCTTGAACACGGCCCGCCTGACCAGGCTCTGGGAAATCCGGTTTAGTTTGCCTTGCAACGAGGGCTCGCGGTCCGGGCCCCGGTTGTGGAAAACGTCCGACACTTCGTACACGATGGCTTTGAGCAACACCTCCATGAAGGAGTGCAGCTCGGTTTCCAGAATGAACAGCCAGTTCGCCATCTCGCCTCCGAGTCAGCCGGACGGGGAGAGGAACCGTTTCGTGCAGCCGATCTCCACGATCGCTCTGGGTTTGCGCACACACACACACACCAGAGAGGCGACAGGCGTCATGTGTCCATGATGCTCAAACAGGAACTGAAACAGCCACTGTCCCCCCAGTACAGCGAGCTAGGACTTCCGGGTCACGCCGCGCTTCCTTAGTGACCGTTGCTACGCGCCGGAAAGTGATAATGTTACTTTATAAAAAAAATATGTATTTATGCTTAACAAAATCACACAAATTGCAATACAAACAAGAGTACATATAACAATTCAAGACAAAAATATCGTCAGGGGTACATATTACTATCTAAGTTATGAAAAAAGGTTAAACAAATTTAAAATAATGTCCGCACCGCTTTCATATTTTTGCACTTCAAAATAATCCGCAAATACCCCCCTTACATCCATTTTAAAATGCTCAAACAAAGGGTTCTCCCCAGACCACTTCATCTTATGTATATAATAACGTGCCATTATAATAATTCAATTTATTACAAACGAGATTTTAATATTGTTTTCGATGGGGCTGAAACTTAACATAACATCTTTTACACCAAAACAAATATCACTATTGGTTTCTCTTTTAATATAAGTCTGCAACTTAGTCCGGAAAATGTTTACCGCTCAGCGTGAGTCAGACTA